TCTCTCTCTCTCTCTCTCTCTCTCTCTCTCTCTCTATCTAATATCAAGGATTGAACCTAGGGGTACTTAACCACACCCCCAGTCCTCTTTCACTTTGAGACAGAGTCTCACTAAGTTGCGGAAGCTGGCTTTGAACTAGGATCCTCCTGCCTCAGTCTCCTGAGCCACTGGGATTACAGATGCACCATCATACCCAGCCTGTGCCTGATGTATAAATTAAAATTTATTATAGATATGTATCTATAGAAAGAAACAAAGCATATATAAAGTTTGACACTATCCATGGTTTCAGGTGCCCACAAGGAACCCTCGAAGGCATCTCCCTTGGATAAAGGGGGGCTACTCTTCCCAGGTTATTTGGTATAATGCTGAAGAGACAAATCATTATTGCCACAAAACAGTGACTGGTTTCCTCACAGTGAAACAGCTTGCATGTACATTAACTTTTACCATTAATATTTAATAATTATTAAATTAGATTTTTATCCTAAAAGAGATTGTAGCAAACCATGATCCCATTCTTTCTCATAACATGCCATTCCAGTGAATTTTCTCACCTGCTCAATAATTTGCCTCACAGTATTTAACCGAACTACTCCACTGGATTTCTCAGATCCTGCATCTTTGGGTTCTGTTTCTGCAAAAGCAAAGTGGAGCTAATTTTAGAAATAAGTGACAATCAATGTTCCAATCTAGCATCAACAACAATGGGACACCGGACATTAAGTATCTCCTCATGTGATGCAGTGGGAAGGATCCTAATATTTGTTTATCAGAAAGATAACCATGGGGAAATGGTTAGGCCAATCTGATAGGGAATGCTCTATGAGACAATTGGTTTGGACTCTTCAAACTGTCAATGTTCCGAGTAAGGTTAAAAAAACAAAGAAAGAAACATAAGAAAAACCAAAATCAAAAATTAAAATTAAAATCAAATGTAATGCATGATTCTTGGAAGTGGGACATAATTGGAACAACTGAGGAAATATGAAAAATTGACTATATATAACATACAGGTTGAGTTTTGCTTATCAGAAATGTTTGGAACTAGAAGCGCTTGGGTTTTTAAATATTTGCATATACATAATAAAAATATTTAGGAAATGGAATACAGGTATAAAACCAAAATTCATTTGCTTCATCTTTTACACATAAACTGAAGGTAATTTTGTGCAGTATTTTTAGTAATTTGTCACAGGAGGTCAGATGTGAGATCTACAACTTGTGACACCATGTTCGTGTTCAATAAGCTGCAGATTTTGGAGTATTTGGGATCTTAGACTTTCAGACTAGGGATTCTCAACCTGAATATCATTGTATCAGTGTTCAATTTCTTGGCCACTGATATGGTAATGGTATTTTGACTGCTTAAAAGAATGTGCTTGTTCTTAGGAGATTCATGCATATAATTTAGGAATAAAGTGTTAAGATGTTCTCAATTTCTAAATGGTTCAGAAAGATAAGTACGGGAGTGAGTGTGTGTGTGTATGTGTGGTGTATGTGTATTTGCATGGAAGTTATAGAGGAAAGAAAGTGGATATGGCAAAATGTTAATAACAACCAGTGGTCAGGTGAAAGATATGAGAATGTTCATTATTCTTTTGATTTTAACGTATGTTAGAAATTTTTCAAAATAAAAATTCTGGAAAACATCACTGACAGACTTACTAGCAGTTTGGAACAAGTCAGGTAACTCGTTGGCCAACTTTTCCATTGCTATGTCTGCTATGGGGCCGAATAATACCACAGGTCTCTTGAAACCAGCTGAAATGAAACAAGACAGGCCATTAAAATAACACATGTGCCTCACTGTTCAGGTAAGAAGCAAAGGGATTACATAGGCTTCTGAAAATGACCTAATTAAATGAGAGAAATTGTGTTCTCCCACCCACAATTGAACCCAGTTCTTTTCTAAAGGACATGCCTTCACTATCCCCACCATTTTTAAAGATAAACATTGCTATGGGTAATATATAAAAACTTTGGAGTGGTGGTATTAAAAGTTTTTTTTTTTTTTTTGGTCGTGCAAACTTGCCTCCACTGAGGAATCTGAACAGTACTATTTTGGAAGTCAGGCTCCATGTTAGTGTATGATTCTAACTGTACACCCTGCCTTTGGTGTCAGTGATGGAGGTAAGTTAGGACTTCACCACTGTAGCCTGGAAGTGAAGGAGAACAAGCACAGAGCCCAGGTGGACCACTTCTTGGCCCCACGGGGCCTCCTCACCTTCTCGCAGCAAGACCCTCTCGTAAGCTGGGAACTTGGTGCTAACAGACACAGCAGCTGTTAAGTCTTCCCGACTCTTCCTTAGGTTCTTCTTCACCCCAGATCTCTGGCCTCGCATTCTCCAAAAATCTGCCCTATCCCCAGCATTGTCTCTCTGGGCATTCTGGACACTGGCCATCTGTTCAGCTCTGAGAGAAGAAAGCATGGGAAATGAATCTCTAGAGACAGGACAGGTGGCACATGTGCACGTCATGAACCAGATCCAGTCAGTTTTGCTTAATAACTTGGATTAGAGAAGATTCAGCTTGACAATGAAGATGTTTCTAAGGGGGAGGACAGGACATGGGGACCTTCATTTCCCCGCAGAGGCCAAAAAAAGGCAGGGTTCTCAATGAAACCCACCAGAAGGAGTTCAGTGATAAAAACACTCAATTTGGCTCACCTGGTATGTAAGTAAATGCATAGTAAATACAAGTGGAACTCCTACTAAAATACAGGTATCTTTCCTAGATCCCTAAACCAACTAACAGGCATTCGCTGGGATATATAGCCTCTCCCAAGGGAGGAGACCAGAGACAGTACAACCACTCAGTCCCTCCTGCGTATGTTGTGCAAGGCGGTGGACATTCCTTGGGAAACTGTCAGACACAGTCAAGCCCAACAACCAAGCACGTGATGCAAGACACTCATTGCAAACGGGCTGGTGGCTATTTCCAGTTCTAGGCCACATTCTCAAAACAAGTAGATGATGACAAGTAGATGAGGTCATGCGGGAGAGGTCATTTGAGGGGTTTATAGTTTGGACCTGGAAAGTGCCCTACAGGCTCATGTGCTGAAGGGCTGGTCACAAGCTGGAGGCACTAATGGGAAGTGGGGAAAACTTTAGGAAGGGGGGCCTAGTTAGAGAAAGTAGGTCACTGGGGCACGTTCTTAAAGGGTATACCTTGTCCCTAATCTCTTCCTTTTTCCAGCTTTACTCCACCACGTACTCCCCACCATGATGTTCTGTCTCACTTCGAGGCCACAGTGATGGAGTCAATTGAATGACTGAAACTTCTGAAATCATGAGCCAAAATAAATCTTTCCTCCTTGAAGTTGTTTTTCTCGGGCATTTTTGTCACAGTGACAGAAAGCTGACTAACACAGGGAGGGAGGGATTCTATGGGCTTGTTGGGGGGGGGGGTATTAAAAGGGTGTGTGGAAATGTGCAATGTGAAGTACCTGCTTCTGTTGGGGATCAAGCCTTTTTCCAATTCATTCCCGATCCTCACGGCCAGCCAGTGGCCCAGCTTGCCGTCATACAGAGTATCTACCACTCGAAAGACCTCCCCTCTGGTAAAGGCCAGGCTCTGTGGAGTTTCCTTCTCACATTCAAAGTGGCTTCTTATAAAAAATGAATCCCCTCTGCCACAAGCCAGGATGTCTCTATAGACTGAAAGGCAAAAGCATGGTTTGCTGCATTTGGTTTAAAGATCTTTCTGGAGTTCTGGTTTCTCCTATCTCTGATTACCCACTTCACCTTCCTGCATCCAGTGAACCCAGTGCATGGGCCTACAGGAATCACAGCTCTAACAGGAAGAAGGATATATAACCAACTACATGAGCTGCTGAGATGGTCAATGTTATGTCTCAAATAACCTGGGCTAGGGATGCCCAGACATTTGGTCAAAACATTATTCCAAATGTTTCTAGAGGGTGTTTCTACATGTTTCTAGAGGGAAGGTATTTTGGGATGAGAGTAATTATTTAAATGGATAGACTGAGTAAAGCATATTGTCCTCACTAATGTGGGTGGGCCTCATCCAATCAGCTGAAGCCCTGAATAGAGCAAAAAATGAGACCCACCCTCAAGTTAAGAGGGCACTGCTCTTCTCTCTTGGTAGCCTTCAAACTGAGAACTCAGCTCTCCCCAGCCTCTGTAATGGAACCATACTGTCCTGGTTAAACCTTCCAACTGGCTCTGCAGGGTCCCTACCTTTAATTCACCCTGCAGATCTTGGGATATGCCAGCCTCTATGATCCTAAGAGCCAATTTCTTATAATAAATCCTACTGGTTCCAACGTCTCCCATGAGTTGTTTCTCTAGAAAACTCTGACTAATACAGTTGTCAATCAACCCTCTGAAATGGGCAGGGAAGAGACTATGGTGGCCCCCCACTTTACAGATGACAACAAGGCCCGAGAAGACAAAGCAACTTGTTACATTGGTCAAGGTGGGAGCCAACAGTTGGTGTGGCTCTGGTTACCCGTTATATGGAAAATTACTAATAATTCCAGGCAAAACTTAATGGCCTATCACTGTTCAGAAAAGCAGTTTAATTCCAAACTGACATGCCAATGAAATTATTTCAGTAGATGGGGAGGAATCATTTTTGTACAAAGTTAAGCAACACTCAAATTTTCTCCATATATACCTGTGACTCTGGGATTAGGTGTCAAGATCCATTTCAATTTTTTGAAATGGATCTTGACATTTCAAAATCAAAAGATCAAAACTCCTGAATTTTCCTATTCTGGCTCCAAGACACCTCTTTCATCCTTCCCACCTCCCCCAAGTAAATTAAATGACCAAACATGCTCACCATCAGCTCGGCTCTGAGCTAAAATGACCACCATTTCACCTTTGGGGATTTCTAACAGGTAGAGTACAGCATCTTCCCGGACCAGCCCTCTGAAGTCCTGTGAGTTCACCTGATAGAAAGGAAAAACAGGAGGAGAGAGATTTCATAGTTAGATGTCAAGTGACCTAGTCTCTCTGTTCTTGTCAGTCTTCCAAAGCAAAACAAGGACGTACCAAGGTCCTTAGTGTCTCTACTCATACCCTCCCCAGCACCTCCACATGGGCTTGAGCTGCATGGGCACCACTAACTTTCTTGCCTCCCCAAATTGCCAGTCCAATTAGAAATAAACCACTAGACCAAGGATTTGTCACTGGATCAGCCTGGACCATCTTTTGGCTATGTCTGCCTCCTCCTCTCCTGTAGTCTCCCATAGAGGTGGTCAGGAAGGTAATGTGTAATAAGGAGCAGTGGGGTCTGTGGTAAAGGAGCCTGGTGATCGAAATAAAATCTACAAGTAAGGATTCTGATCAAATCCATCCTTCTCCTATAGATCCTATCACCTGAAAGACATCTAACCTGTGTTTATGAAATCAAAGGGTGTTTATGAAGTTGAAGAGCATCAACCTTATGAAAGACCATTAGTCTAATACATGGTCTTATATAACATAAGCTTCTGGCTCACACCTATTTCTGGCAAAGAGCCCCCATTTATTCCACAGTGATTGAATAGGGATCACTATAAATGGCGTTTGGAAACTAAATTAGAGAGAAAATGAAATTGAAATGTAATAACAAGAAAAGATATTTTGGAACCAGAATTCTGTATCCTTAAAATTATCTTGAAGTGTTGGATGTTTTAATAATATTTTATAGAAATGAAAAGATACAGAATACAGAATTCCCATGAAATATTTTCTTCAGTTATTGAGAGCTACAAAATCCTTTCAATCATAAAAAAAAAAAACTGCTTTATTACTTTTAAACTATCATTGATTCAGGGCCTTAATTAAGGCCAAATGTGTGATTAAGTGAAAGTAGGCATTAGACTGAAACTAATCTGAGGCTTTAAAAAAGAAAAAAATAAATAAAAACGTGATTTGCTAGAGCAACCAAGCTAACTTTTCCTTTGTAACAATATTTATTATTTAAAATACTGTCATTTCCACCTCTCTGTCCCCAAATAGGGATCATTGAACTTTGGTGCTAATCTTTCCTCATGTGGTTTCTGTATTTCTGTACGGCTACATATATGATTTTATATGAGCTGTAGATGCTTATATTTATTTACTTAAATAAACCAGGGCCATGGGGTAAGGGCGAGGACATCAGAAGTCCCTCTGCCCATCTCTATGGCCACATGAGGCTAAACATCAATCAGGTAAAAAACCACAAAGGTCAAAATGAAATCATGTGAGATAGCTTTATTGGTTTAAAACTAAATAAAATTATTTTCCCCTCTCTTCCATCCCATAAAGGTTTCTGAAAGATAAATGACAACCATACCAGATAAATAATAAGCAATGAGATGGGTCAAGCCAAGCAGGGAAAAAATAAACATATTTCTGTTTTGGGTAAGACATTACACGGTAGCACAGCCCACTCTTGCTTTCATTCCACACATCAATCTGTCACCTTTACAAAGCAGAACAGAGCCACACTTAGAAACCCTCCAACTGAAAAATGCCATCAGTCTATGGACACAGTTCACCTCCCAGATTCAGTTTGGGCATGAAAAGCAGCACAGAAACAAATGAAAGTGAAAAGAGCCAGGGCAGCACTTTTGCGCTTTGAGGGTTAGACCACACCATCCTTTCCGATAAATATCCTCTTTCATGAGCTATTTAGTAGTCCACAGGGTCCAGTCCGGTTTGCTGTGAGCCTACAGGATCCTGTATCAGCTACAGCTCACCATTGTGCACCAGCTTCTCCGCCCTGATAGGCAAACCCAATCTTTTTCACCCTTTTGCAGAGCTCAGGGCTCCTTTTGTAGTCCATAGAAAATTTATTCCCACCCTTGAAAGAGGACCACCTCACCACCTGACCTCCCCATACAGGATTACTGCAAAAGAAGCCAGTTCCCACAGTTTCTTCCTTGTCACCAGGGTGAGATCAGAAAACAACCATTTCTTAAATATAAATGCTGAGTAATATGACTTTTTACCCATTAAGTGACACTCCCTGTCTTTAATAATGACAAACAGGGAGGTGGGACTATTAAATCCCTATATGAGCTCACTAGAAAATTTAGAAAACACTGTCCCCCCGACACCAACTCCCCAACGCAAAGAGGACAGATTCATTTTATCCTTGAACGTTAAAGAGCAAAAGCTCCAGATCTCCAGCAGACACCCGAAGGCTTCACAGCAGTTAGGAAATATGCTTCTTCTTCATTAGCATATTTACTGAGCGTAAAGTGGTATGCGCTGGCACCTGGACAGGATTTTTTATCAGCAGCATTTGGTGGCGCATGTTTCCTAGGATCATGTGCTACACTCAAGTAGCGAGTTCACTCAAGGCGCAAGTCTTCTAGGAGCCCAACTGGAGCCAAGGAGGGTCTAGAGTTTCACTGGAAAGCTTTAGCAAAGCTCATGATCAGGGTCTGCCCTTCCCCTACTCCAGAAATGAAATCTGAACTACTGCCATGGAGCCAAGTGCTGAGAAGGAAGCAGCCATCTGTTTTTGTACTTTGCCGTTTTCTCTAGGGTTCTGTGAATTTCTCTCTCCTCTCCTTTGAGCCTAGAAGCACTCACCAGACCCTCAGTAAATGACATATGGGTTTTCCACTAAAATTAACAAGGAAAAAGCAAACAAACAAACAAAAAACAGGAATGGAAAGAAATTCCAAAATTTCAGTGAAAACAGTTCTCTAGCAATGCTTTATGTCTATACCAATGGCGTACTTGGCTTTAAATATCAAAATTGAGTTATTTTTTAATTGTTTAACATCAACTGATTATACAAACATACAGCAATTTTAATAAAACGACCAATATGTTGGGCTAGGGATGTAGCTCAGGGGTAGAGTGCTTGAGAAGCAGGCCCAAGGCTCTGGGTTTAATCCCTAGTACTGCAAAAAGAGTAAAGAGAAACAGAAAAAAACTACCGAAATGTTATGAACCAGGAATTCTTTTCCTGGATGGTTTTAAAAGCAAACAACATACTGAGTGGCAGCTGTGTGTCATCTGCCAGGAACTGTGCTCTGGGCCTTAGAAGTACTCTTTTTTAATCTTGCCAGGGTTCCTGAGAGGTAGGTATTCTCATCTCCACTCAAGAGATCTGGAAACCACATCTCAGGGTGAGCCAGGGTCACAGAATTACTGAGAGGCTGGAGCCAGGCTCAGATAACAAGGTCTGATGTTAATAGTCATGCCTATTCAGTTAGGTCACAAGACCCATTGAAATTTCTTTCTTGCAGGTTCTTAATTAGACTCTTGACTTTTTTCATTAATCAAACTACTAAATTCATAGTGTCTTAAACATTATAAACTCTTGCAGACCAATGAATGAGTTTTGGATTCTAGGGCAGATGAGACAGGGCCTATGTGAGACAAGACCTCAGGGCTGGACATCAACACACTTGTCACTGACTGTTTTCACAAGATGACCACCTCCTTGTGAAAGAACACCCAGAAAAGCCCACCCAGCAAGAGACTTCTGGAAACAGGGCTGCACTTCCCTCACCTTCAGAATCTGGTCTCCCTCCTGAAGGCCTTCCTGCTCTGCAGATGTGCCCTCTTGAATGCCAGCAACAAATATCCCAACGTCGTTGCCACCAGCCAACCGGAGGCCCACGCTGTCTCCCTTCTTGAACTTCACCATTTTGGTGTTAGGGCTGCAACAAGTTTGGTTCCAGAAAAAAAAAGAGATGAGAGATCATTTTTCAAAGGGGAGGGGAGAGGGCACACTAGCAGACGAGAGATTTAATTTTGTCTATCTACAGAGCAATTTATAGGTGACATTCATCTCATTTTTCTCATCTATTCTACGATTTTATCCTCCTTGGGACAGTTAGGTGAATACCAGCAGGCTCACATTACTGAAGAAGGTGAAATATAAAATGTTTGCATCAGCTTATTTAAGATGAGAAAGCAAACAAAGGGGAGAATTAGGGCCAAAATTAAGCTACCCAACACTCAGTTTAGGATTCTTTTAAACAAAAACCTACAGGTATCCTCAGCTTTTTGTCAAATGAAGACATAGAAGCTGGTCCATAGAAGCTGGTCCTAATACAGCTGCTGCTCCTGACACCATTGAATCAGAGGCTCATTATCAAGTGCAGAGCCCTGGTTACCTCCATTCCCTTCCCCACAATGGGATCATCATGTCACTGCAGCCACTACTGAGGCACCACAGTTTAACAATGCTTCACCTGTTTGGGGCTATGCCTCTGCCAAAAGCAAATATTCAAAATAATATTCTGGAGAAGTAGGCAGGCAAGCAGGGAACATCATCATCACCAAGTTCACCTAGTTCCACAAGTTGCTTTTCAAAAAAATGATTCCACTCTCATAAATATCAGCAGTACAGGTTGGTTAAAGGTAGCTGGTAAAGAAACCTATTCTTCTGGATTTCAGTTAAGGAGATGAGCAGTGTGGAAAAGAAAACAGGAGAAAAAAAGAAAGAGAAAGAGGAGCTGGGGTTATAGCTCAGCTGTGGAGCACTTGCCTAGCATTTGTGAGGCACTGAGTTTGATCCCTAGCACCATACAAAAATAAATAAAATAAAGGTATGGTGTCCATCCACAAAGGGGGAGGGGGATATATACCCATATATTGCTTCATCTTCAGGACTAGGACGAAGAAAAGTTCTTGGAGCTGGTTTGGGTTGAGGAACTGTGGAATACAAAACATCCATTGTTACTGATGTGATGAGCAAGAGACAGTTTCTAAATTTCAAAACATAATAAATATTCAAATATTATTTCAAAGTTACCATAAATGGTCTTTTTGCTGCTTAAGCTTTTATAGGTACTCACATAGGTACCCACATCTGGAATGATGGGACATAATGGGTTATGGTGAAACTTAATTTTGAAGCATTAGCAGGTCCTAATACTTTCTCAAAATTTTAAGAAGAGAAACAAACCACCAAAATGCAATGTGCACATGTATAAGATGACAATATTTTCTAGAACTACAAGATCATATAATGAGACTACATATTTCCCAGGTATAAATATTTATGCACACTAAACAGGATGATAACTGCAGGGTGGCAGAGTTAGGGTGATGAGTTTGGGATCATGGATGAAAGCAATAGGACTGTCACCCATCAAATATGTCAAATATGATCAATTTTGATGGCATTAAAAGAGGATGGACTCAACCATTTTAAGAATGAGGGTTTGTTTTTTTTGTTTGTTTGTTTTGTTTTTTTTATAATTTCTCTCTCCCTTTCAAACCACTCTCTAAATCTCATGATTCTAAACTCAAGTGTTGACAATGAATGTCTCAAGTTAGGGGTCTAGCTCAGTGGTGCAGGATGCACTTTGCATGTACAATATCCTGGATTCAAACCATAGGCTCCCCCAAAATGAGTGGTCTTAAAGCCTCACCTGGTTCCTCTTGGTATCTGGGTTCCTTGTTGGTTTCTGTGACAACTGCAGCTGCAGTGTCCCCAGAGGACTTGAATGGAGTGGGTGTGGCGCCCATTTTGGACAATCTGTTGGACGTGTCCTCCCTTGAACTAAAGCATAGGTTATGTTAACATCTCAGAGGTAATAGATACACAAACACGCATGTGTGTAGCTCCCCAGTGTGCAAGGGAAATACATGTCATCTCACCTTGGCCTTTCTTTCAGCTTCTCATTGGAGGAATGATAATCATAATCAGAATACTGCTGGCGTCTCTCTTCTGGAGAAAATGATCGGTTTGACTCTATTTCTGAGACATCTGCTTAAAAAAAAAAAAGACTTTTATAGTAAAATATTTAAGATATGTATCAGAAATTATGCTATTTCCTCAGTAGGAGATATGGGAAATGTAAGAGACTCAGGGAAAAAAAAAGAAGTTAACCTTAAGGGAAGGGCATTAAAAATTAATATAGAGGAAGTCAGATTCAGAACTGTACATTTCTCTTTTCATCCCACATTCCTTTATAACTGCTTCTGAAGGATGAAAATTCAGTTATAGTCAATTCTCAACATCTGCAGGACAACAGTTTCAGGCTCACTACAGCCAAAATCTGCAGATGCTTAAGTCCTTTATATAAAACGGCATAGTATTTGCAAGTAACCTACACACATCTTCCTGTATACTCTAAAGATACATCTAAAGATGACTTATAATGCCTGATACAATATAAATGCTAGGTAAATAGCAAAATAACAAGAAAAAGAGGTATTAAGCAATGAGTACTGAGAGATTGAATATGTGAAATGACAAGAGGCTTTGGCAGAGTGTGCCCAAATATTACTACATTTATGTAGATTCAGCACAGTGCTCAATTCAAGTTTTGTTTCTTGGAACCTGATGGAATTGTTTTTTCCACATATATTCAATCTGTGGTTGACTGAATCTGGGGATACAGAATCAAGGACCTGGAAGACCAGCTGTACTGTATTACATATTTGCTCATTCCCACCAAATAGATGAATGCTTCTCAAACCTTAATGTGTATACAGATCACCTAGGGATCTTCCTGAGGCACAGTTGTTCTGGGGTAGGGCTTGAGATTCTGCAGTTTTATCAATCTCCCGGATGACACTAATGCTACTGAGGTGCTGGGGACCACACTCTGAGTAGCATGGAAATAAACTGCAAACTCCTAAGATACTGGGGTTAATCCTCACAATCTTTTAGCTTTCCTGAATTGCACTCTTGGCAGTGACCACATGACCAGACTTTTGATATGCTGGAGATCAAATTAATTTTTAAGTTTTAAATTATTTTTTTACAATATATTTTTAGTTGTTGATGGACCTTTATTTTATTCATTTATTTCTATGTGGTGCTGAGAATTAAATTTAGTGCCTCACATGTGCTAGGCAAGTGCTCTACC